CATAAATTGGGTCACAGGAGTCAAAGTGAGGCCACTTTTAAGACAAAGCTGCTATGTAAATATATTATCTGTATTTTGTTTCATGACTAGCATGACGTTCTGCATGAGATGAGTGCTTAATAAATGTCTGTTAAATTGAAAAATCACATGATTTTTTCCTGCAAATTTTCCTTTTAAGCTCTCCTCCCCTCTGACTATGTGAGATCTATGTCATTGACTAAATCTGTCATTTTGAAGAATAATCAATAAATAATAAGATCACAAACATTCAATCAGAGGATCATACATTCAGAGCTGCAAAAGTCCTTACTAGGTCATCAGATCCAATCTTTTCATTTCATAGTTGAGGAAACTGAAGCACAGAGTGGGTAAATGATTTGTCAAGAACAGTGCCTGGGATACAGTAGGTGTACCTACTATGCCAATGTTTTTATCAACTGCCAAATGTTTTGATATATACTGCTGTGTAATATAGTTTGAGGTCTGATAATGCTATGCCTCCTTTTCTTTTTTTTTTTCATTTTTTCCATTGAGATTTTGGACCTTTTTTTGTTTGTTCCTCGAAATGAATTTTTTTTACTGTTTTATCTCAATCTATAAAGTGTCTCCCCATAATTTTATTAGTATAGCACAAAATCTTCTGAGGCAACTAGATGGCTCGGTGAATAGAGTGCTGGGCCTGGAGTCAGGAAAACCTGAGTTCAAATCTAACCTCAGATTCTTACTAGCTGTGTGAACCTAGGCAAGTCACTTAACCTGTTTGCCTTAATCCACTGGAGAAGTAAATGGCAAACCACTCCAGTGTCTTTGCCAAGAAATCTCCATGGATAGTATTGGCATGAAATGTTCCATGGAGTCACAAAGAGTCAGATATGACTGAACAGCAAGATCTGTTAAGTAATTTAGGTAATACCACTTTTCTTATATTGGCAAGGCTCAACCATGAGCAATAAATATCACCCTAATTATTTGTCTTTTCTATTTCTGTATAGTCATATTTATATAAATCTTCGGTGTATGTTTGCAAGTTATCTCCAATATATTTAAGTATTTCTTCATTATCTTGCTTGGGATTTCTCTCATAGTTTCTCAATGCTATTTGTTAGTGCTGTACAGAAATGCTAATGATTTTGGTGGATTCCTTATACATACTGCTACTTCACTGAAGCTAAAAAACCTTTCATTCAAGTCCATTCTGATTCTCTAGAGTTCCTAAGTACAGCATTATGGCATCTCTAAATAGAGATAATTTTGCCTGTTCTAGTCTATTCTTTATCTTTGGAGAGCTATTCTCTTGAATAATTGCTCTGGTTGACATTTGATTTTATTTTCTTTTTTTAATATATTTAGTTCACACAAAGGGCAGCAAAGCTAGAATTTCTAGATTCATTTAAAAGAATGATACGAAGGGAGGGGATCCTCACTTTATTCCTTTTTGTACTGAGAAAATTTACAATATTTATCCATTGAAGATAATGCAAGCTGCTATTACAATATAATACTTTTCAAGCATAATTCATACACATAAGAATATAAATATCACATTCAAGATAGGTCTTTCCATGTCTCTGCATTTTTAACACAAACAATAAGCTATATTTTATTGAATTTTTTAATATCTATTAATCATGGAGGAGGGATTTTGGTTATTTTGTTTATATAATTAATTACGCTAACATTTTTTCTAATGTTGAACCATACTTGCCTTCCTAGTATGAATCCAGAATATTCAGAAAAATTATTCTCTGGAAGAATTGCTAGAGAATGGAAATTGTGTTTACAAGGATTTTATTTATAATATTTGTATCAATATTCATTAGTAGAATTATTTCATACTTTTGTTTCTCTGCCCTGCCTCTCCTTGGCTTGGAAATCAAGATGAGATTTGTCTCATAAAAGGGGAATGGAAGTGTTCTTTGTCTCTTTGTTTTTTGCAATAATAGTTGTTCATTATTCTTTAAATCATTCATACGTCCAGATATAAATCCATCTGGCCCAAGGTTTCTCTTTCCTTTGCGTATGCTGCCTGTTCTCTGTTCTGTCACGCAACTGGAATTGAAGAAGATCTATAGTCTTCAGGGATGAACAGGGTAAACAACAGAGACACTCCTACAGCAGTACTCTAAAAGAACTCCGTCATTCAGCCCATTCCCATTTTAACAAGTAGCACTCTTCAGTGTTTCAACCTCCTCTCTCTGACTAAATTTCTTCAATCCCTAGATTTACTCTCTTGGGCTATTCATGAAGGGAATGGTGCTAGATCCTGTAAGACTTTGCTGAGGAAAGACTTTGCATTTGAATCCCACTTTTCTCTTGCTCATGTAAGGTACCTATTTTCTCCAAACAAGATTAAATCGTTATCACTACCACCACAATTTTGAATTTCTCCATCCTCCACAGTCTTGCCTCCCATGAAAAATGTGGGGTCCACATTTATCCATTGCTACTCTATTATCTTTTTTTCAGATCTTGGGTTTCATCTGATTCCTGGACCTCTATGCACCCTGGTTTGGTGGCCAAGGGGTTAACTCCAAAAGTTGCTCCTTATAATTGTAACCATGATGAGAGATGCAGGATCATCATAGAATGTTATTTCCATGGGCTATGGCAGACAGAGAGAGCACTAGGGGTAAGATCACCTGAAAGAATCTCCTTGTTTGGGATTCTAGCCATTTTCCTCTTCTTTTCGTGGATTCCTTTGCTCCATATGTAGGTATTCTTTTTTATTTTGGGTATTGATGGGGGAGCTGAACTCTGTTTCCTCTTATTCTGATATCTCTCCAGGATCAGCTAATTGACCTTTTATATAATTTTTTTAGACCTAACCTATAGATCTGACTATATGCCTGTATCTACCAGCTTATCCTAGTCAAATCAATAGCAAGTCAATTAGGTGTTACTATGTTCCAAGCACGCTGCTACTAAGAAGCAGTCAAGGATTCAAAGAAAGACAGAAAACAGTCTCTGCTCTCAAGGAGCTCACAGTCTAATGCGGGAGACAACAGGTAACCAGTATTACACAAACAAGATAAATACAGAGTAATTTAGAGAAATCACCAAAAGGAAAGCACTGAGTTTAAGAAGGACTAGGAAATCTTCTTGTAGAAAATGGGAATTAAGCTGAGGCTTGGGAGAAGCCTGGAAAGTCAAATAACATGAGGAGGGAGAGAGGTCCTTTACGTTTACTGAATGAATGAACGATTTTGCATTGCCTGGATCCACCTATAACCAAGGACACCAAAGATTTCATCTAACTAGAGTTAGAGGTGCAGACTACAGAAGTGAACAAACCTGGTAAAACTTTATTAGGAAGTTTTCCAATTCAGGGAAGCGTCACAATCCATGTCCAGCTCAAGCAGCATAAAATTTAGAAATACACCCTGCAATATTGTGGCAGAGTTGGGGTGAGGTTGCGGGGGGTTGGGGGGAGGGATGGACTTACAAGTACACCATCTGGTGGCTTCCTATTTTAATTAATTATTCTTGATAACTAGTGCTGAGTTCTGCTATTTCAGAAGGCTAAAAGGGCTATCAGCACCCTCTAAATTCAGTTATCTGGTTGATAACTAGTGCTGAGTTCTGCTATTTCAGAAGGCTAAAAGGGCTATCAGCACCCTCTAAATTCAGTTATCTGGGTCAAAACCTCAGTTTGTCCTCCCATTTATAGCTGCTACTAACTGGTCCATGCAGCGATTTAACCTACGATCATGATCTCTTCAATACTAGATTCTAACCAAAGGAAATAAGCAACAATGTGTGTTGGAATGTATGCCTGTTCTGAAAGAATTAGCCCTCTACTTGTTCCACATTTGTACATCTTTACTAGCCTGTCACTACTCACTAGGGGACATAGACAACATTCCAGCAATCGATTAGGGAATCTGTCAGGAGATCTCTCTCTCTCTCTCTCTCTCTCTCTCTCTCTCTCTCTCTCTCTCTCTCTCTCTCTCTCTCTCCTCTCTCTCCCTCTCCCCCTCTGTATACATACACATATAAATACATATACCCCTAAATGCTCAATAATAGCTGGCCTCCTTAGACTCTCTGCACTGTAACAGTCTAGAACGGAAGGCCCTAAATTACCGTATGGGGTCCCTTCACAGTGATACCAGAAGAGCAACAAGTTATTAGATAGAAGTCAAAGCCTACCGCTCTAAAGAACATGTCTGAATTCCCTAGAGACCAAGGGTTAGGCTGTCAATTCAGCCTTTCATCCCCTCTGAAGCAGACAAATTGAGTTCTCTGTGTGTGTGTGTGCCTGTGTGTCCTTTGGACAAGACCTAAAAAAACCAGGTTTCTTTGTGGACATGGAAAACGCCATAGCACTTTTGTCCTGAGCCAAAACTTTGAAGCCCCGAAGGAAATCCTTGGGAAAACCAAGAGCCCACCTGATTCCTATAAGGATATTAATGTATTAGTCACCTTATAAAACTTAAATTTATTTACTTTTAAAATGCCACCCCCCTGCCAAGGTGAGCTCCACAGCTCACTACCCAGCAAGTTTGTGTTGGCATCTGCTGAATGTTACAGCTGTGTCTCCAACCACCTGAACATAAGAGGAAAAATGAAGCCCTTGCCCTCCATTCACAGGACAGTCTCCTACTACCTCATCCATCAAGAAAAACGTGCAGTGTGCCAAAGAAATGTTCCCAAATTTTAGCAGGCATTTGTTGCATGCAAATCACTGTAGAATAAATCATTGTATATTGCAGCATAGCCCCTGAGGGGTCTGTACCTATGGAACCAGCTACTGTCACTCCATTTCCACACGTACCTTAATCATGTTATTCATTCAGCGAGAAGGATGTATGATACTGCAGGAGTCTTTAATTCCTCCCTGCTGATGATCTGACGGGGAAAGACAAAGAGGGAGAAAGAGAGACAGAGAGACAGCAGGAAGCCCAGAGAAAACACTGAAGGTAGGATTCAAGCACTATTTTTATTATTATTATCATCATCATCATCATCTTTATTATTAATTTTAATTTTCAAGGGGTTTATTGACAGATTCCTTTCCTAAAATGCTATAAAGGCATTTGTCGCATAATTGTAAGTACAAATATTATGTTTAGTGCCTTGTATATTCATGCTTCCTTCTACCTATTCACTAATGGGTGAACTTGAGCAACAGTGTCTTCTCTTCCCATTCCTTCATTCCCCTAGAAGAAAAGAGAAGAAAAGAATTATGCAGAGAAAGTTATCCCTCTCTAATCAAAGGTTGGCTCAAACTGAATATTCTGCTCAAGCCCATCCCACAAAAAGCTACAGCAAAAGCTCAGCCTTCTAACTAGCCCCAAGCTTGAGCAAGAAAGACCACCTTTACAGATCCAGGTCCCACCTATTCTGTTCCCTAGTCTTTCTGCAGGGAGAACCCACAAGCATACCTCCTAATTCCCCCTCAGGCTGGTGGTTTCAGGGAGGCATACATGTGTCAACCAGGGTCTGGAGAGAGAACAGCTGAATACTTCAAAGAGCTAACTGGACAGAAATTACTTTCAGGCACCATTAGGACTGCATTTGCATTTGGGCCTGGAAGTAAAAGAGGACAGTGGCCACAACCAATCCCCTATACTGTAAGGTTACATTTTTATAATGGAACAGACAACTGAGTAAAGAGCCCAGAAGAAATTATTAGACCAATCCCACCTTTTATTTATTTTCTTTTCAGACAGTCCTCCTCTCCAATTCGTCAGCTGGTCTTTGATCTCAACAATGTGGGTATTCTCTCCCTTGCAACTCATCTGTACTTTCTCATTTAATGGAATTCCTTTCTATGTTCTTCAGATGTTCCACAGAGGCATCACCCAAAGTCCTGTAAGATTTTTTATATGTCAAAGGTACCAATGTAGGTCTGTGGCTGTCCTTGTTTCCATTATGTGATTGGCCCGCCTCCTTTTCTAAGCCTATGCTTCTCCCATATTGTGAACAGAAAACCGTTAGAAATATGCAGTAGTCTACTCATGCCCATCATGAATTTCTTCTTTGCCCTTTGAATAACCCACAGCTTTAATTCCTTAGAGACTGTGGTATTCTGAGATTTGCAACCATCACTAGAACAACGTGCACCTCCATGCCACAATGGGGTTTCAGGATAGGACATTAGTGGAAGTCAGATATTAGCCTCAGACAAGCCTTGCTACTATGCAGTACCAGAGAACCAGCTGCTATTGTAGATCCTAGGGAAATTTGTTCAAGTATTATACTCTAAGACCAAGTTAAATGGGGAGTTTGAGAAAAGTAGACTAAATGGTGTGCCAGGTGTCAAGTAGCATCTTGTTTATGACACCCTTAACTTCTGCCTCCAAAACACACACACGGGCGTGCACACACACACACACACACACACAACACACACACACATCACATCACATCACACCATACCACACCACTACCCCCACTGCCACCACCACCACTATCCTCTGGGCTATTATTGAGGGCAGGGACTGTTTTCATTTTTGTCTTTCTCCCTTTAATAAAAGCTTATCTATTGATGGATACCTCATAGCCACAGAAACATTCTCAAACATACTTCCAAAAAAAAAGTTTGAAGAAAGAATCTCCTTTCACCTGCAAGTTTGATAAAAATGCTTAGACTCTGTCTATCCAAATAAAGTGAAATAGAAAGTTGATGGGACAATGATCCCAGGAAGGGACTTACTTGTCTTTGTAATACTGGGAGAATAGAAAACTTGGATGCATCCCTTTTAGGATTATAGGGTCATAGGAAGCTGGAAGGAACCTTAGAGATCATCTTATTTTATAGATAAGAAGACTGAGACCCAAGGAGATTAAATAATCTGTCAATGACCTCAAGGAAATAGAGCTAAGTTTCAAACCCAAGTCTTCTAATTATGCTGGTGTATGTTTAACTATGGGAAGTTAGTAATGAAAAGGCCCTAGAGTTCTTCTCTAAGATGATTTTTTTAAAATTGTTTTAAAAATTAGTCAAGGATGAATTGGAGCTCAGACTAATCTAATTAAGCTTTTATATGAGAATATATTTATAATACCCACCCTGTCTCCAGCCCCAAGGACCTCTACTTAAAGAACAAAGAGATAAACTTAGAAAATTGTAAGCTCCATGAGAGCAAGGATAATATCTTTCATCTCTCCCTCTTTTTAATCCCCCTACTACCTGCCCAAATGCTTTACGTGTAATTTATTTCAGTTCAACATGCATTTGTTAACATAAGCGTAAGTCATTATGCTCACCTCTGTGGATTAAAAAAAAAAGAAATGGTCATAATCTGTGTTCAGTAAATTATTGTTAATTGATATCTATAAATACCATTTGGCATTTGACATCATGATGACATGACTCATCTACTTAACCAACTCCACTGGCTTCCTATTGCTTCTGGAATAAAATGTATACTCTTTTTAGCTTTAAAAGCCCAATAAAACCTGACTCCAACCTATCTTTCCAGCCTCATTGGGCATTACTCCTCATTCTGCACTCTGTGAATCTGTCAAATTGGTCTTTCCTCTGTTCCTCTCATTTCCCAGACTGCATTGGCCACCCCTCCTCATGTCCATAATGCACTCCTTTCTTACCTCTATCTCATTGAATCCTTCTCTTCCTATAAGATGTAATCCATCTTTTGCATAGAGTCTTTCCTGATCTATCTGCATATGTGTGTATATGTGTATGCATATATATGTGTACACACATACACACACATGCATGTATATACATACATATTTTTATTGGTACCTGATACACTGTAGGCACTTAATAAATGTTTATTGATTGGTACCTTGCTTGATAGCGAGCAATTATCTTCAATATAGTACAAGAAAGGTAATTGTTTTAGTATCTCTCTGCTTGTAGTTCTCCCTAGTCAGCTTGTCACAGAACTATACAATCTTGAATCTTCTTGGTCTCATATAGTAACCTAATAAAGTCATTTAATTATATGATTCCATAGCTGCTCCTCCTATCCTCCATCAATCCTATGTCATATCTCCTGTTCTGGGCCCCATCTAGCTCAGTCCCAGTCCAGTGATTCAGGCTCAAAGATAAAATCTAATAAGATATATTGGTGTCAGTGTCAGATCTGGAGTCAGGAAGAATTGAATTCAAATTCAGCCTCAGATACCCTCTAATTGTGTAATCTTGGGCAAGTCACTTAACCTCTATCTGCCTCCATTTCCTTATTTTTACAATGGATATAATAATAATATTTCCCAAGGTTGTTGTAAGGATAAAATGAAATACTATCTATACAGTGTTTTATAAATCTGAAAGTACTATATAGATATTAGTTTTTATTATTAAAATGGAATATAGTCACAATCTTTCTTAGGAGCCCTGTGCATGAATGAATACATTTAATAAGAGTTATGTACCAAGTACTGTGGCTAAGGAGACAACTATAACAGCAAGAAAATTCCTGTCCTCAAGGAGCTTAAAACCTAGCAGGGGAGAACAACATATATATGAAGTAAGGGCCAGGCAAGGAGGTTTGGGTTTGGGGTGTCAGCAGAGATGGTGATTGGAGCCATAAGGGAGTCAACTGACATTTCCTTTCCTAAGGCAAGGGTTGTATTGATTTGATTATCATTCCCAGAGCAAGAGGTAGAAAGTAGGGGGAAGGGTTACAGAAAGAAGAATAGATATCGGGATGGCAAAGAGATGCCTGGGATAGATAACGAGATACAGTGTAAACTATAGGATAGGACCTGGAACCAGCTCCATATAGTATGTCAAATATGCTTGGATTAGCTGACTCATCTATCAGGACAACATTGCCCCAGGTTGGTTCCAAAATAGCACAGATTAAATCACCCAGGGCATGTTCTCCAAAGGAAACCATGCAATGACTCCTAGAAATACTGATATAAAACCAGGATAAAGATCAAACAGTAATGCACATAGAAAGAAGAGATAAATAAGAGGGGCTGGTGATTTTCTGGTACAAAGACTGATCTTCCCAGTCTTTATTTGGGTTTTCTATCCTCAGATTATCTTGAATTTGCTAATCTGGTAGCCCCTGTAGGATGTCACCGCTGTGAGGAAAGGATCTGTTATACTTTTTGGTCTTTGTATCCTACTGCTTTGCTTTAGAAATAGTAGGTACTTAATAAATGTTTGTTTAATTGGGGAAAAAATGGAGTAAAAACAACTCTGTTATAATAACAGAAATATATAATATAATAAATGTAATAACTTAAATGTAATAACTTATAAATAAATGTAATAACTTATCTTCTAGAAATACATAGCAGGGTGTACTAGTAAGTGACCACTGGCTCTCCAAAATAATGTTATTTTTAATTTTTTAACATTTAAAATTTTTTAAGTTTAAACTGCTTTATCAACATTTTCTCCATCACTCAATCACAATCAACAACCAAAAAAATTTAATTAAACTCTAATCTGTAGTGTTTCCTGATTTCTGAAGTGTAAATGCTCATAGTGAATAGTTGACAATTACCTCTCATGAGGTGTCTCCAGCACACTCCTGTATATAAGATATTTCTCCTCCCTTACTTGCAATACCATGCTGGTCTTTCTGATTCTAGTTTTATTTTTGTTTTCCTTGGTCCTTCTGGGCACCACTGGTCAGAACACTGTATATATAGTAGAATATAGGGATAGCCACCAATTCTGGATAACTGATGAAAATCTTTATTTAGGATTCATATTTCTCTGGGTTAGGTCATTACATGAACTCCATCCTCAGGCTAAGCTCATCAGTCCATAACACTGACCAGATACCCAAAAAAAATAGTACAGGGCTTCTTAGAGGTAGGATGGGTTTGTAAGATAATGGTCAGTGGAAACCACTCAATCAGGAGACTTTGGTCTGGAAAAAAATCTCTTCACATATACTATCATGAAACCAAAGTGGAAAGAATCAGTGAAACAAAGGGTTGCCCTTATTCTCACAAGTATTTTCTCATGTTTTTCCCCCTTTTGTTATTTAATCCTTTATTCAATAAACATGTATTGAATGACCACAGTATGCAAAGTACTATGTCAGGCACATAGGAAATAAAAGGACCAAGAAGGCCTGGTAATTACTCTCAAAGAAATTAGTCTAGTTGTGAGGGGTAGATAAGAACCAGACACCAAACAAGGCAAATATATTCTTTGCACATTGTAGTCACTTAAATGTTTCAATTGAATTGAGTTTGATGAACCATATAAATGGTAGAGATAATAAATGCCATAGGAGTTTATAGACATCAGCTGGGGGGTTCAGGGAAGGTTTTTGCCAATGTATTACAAGGGAAAGAAATATTGTCTTCAGAATCAGAGGACCTGGGTTTGAATCCCAGTTCTGCCACTTACTAGCTAAGTGACTCTAGGAAAATCTTTTAATACCTCTGGGCCTCACTTTCCTCACTTGTAAAATGAGTGTTTGACTAGATCAGAGGTGTCAAACACCCATGGGTCAACACTTCAGAGCAATGCAGAACCCAATTAAAATATAACTTAACAAAATAAACAAAAAAAAACACAAGAAACCATAGATAGTGTTTATATGTGGTTTTCTAAGTCAATAAGCAGCCTGCAGGGATACTCATGTGTGGATGTGTATATACTGTTTAGTGGTCCTGTTTCTACTTGATTTTGATACCATTGGACCAGATGATCATATCTGTTATTCTAAGATCACAGCAATTAGCTTGGAACCAGATCTTGAAGGATGGGCATGATTTCAATAGACAAAGATGGAGGGTGAGTGGAGATAATTCTAGGTGTAGGAAAAAGCAGAGGCAAAATCACAAAGGCTTAAACAGCAAGGCATATTCAGAGGTAGCCTAGATTGTATAGAGGGCTGAGGTGGAGACATACAAAGAGCT